CCCCCACCCCGCCCCGCCCCCATGTAAATGTTTCTAGATCCGCCACTGGCTCTGCTGCACTTCACCAGGTTCAGAGGTCTGGTGGCTCAGGTTAGGGTTAACTATAGACAGTAGTGGTTCATTTCAGGGAGAATGTCTGGGTTAGGCATCAATACAGTTACAAAAATGAATGTAAGTCAATACAAAGTCCTCAGTTTGATGCAAATACACGGATGTGTGTGTGTTTGTCCTTATTATAACACATTAACACACTGGCATCACCACATGAAGTGTTCATCACTCATCAGAGAATCTAGTTTTACAGAAGCAGAAGATTTGTTTTAGGAAACAAAATAAGTTCAGCTGCTTCAGCTAAAGTCCAGCAGCTGCAGATCTGCTTTGGAACAGGGGGGTTAAAGAAATCCTGAACCAGGACCAGAGAAAAACACCAGACCCACGTGGATCCAGATTGCGCAATGGTACAAATGGTTTGTGTTTTTATAGAAAACACGTTGGAGTTTCCACACAGCGCGCGGCTTCCGAGGAAAAACCTGCAGGGCCTCTTCATAAGAAATGTGGGAGTGGATTCTCTGAAGCACCGCACGGTTCTACGAAACAGAAAGTCCGGATCAGCTGCTGCAGAACAGAACCCAGAAACTGGATCTGATCAGAGGCTTCAGGGGTGCAGTGACCCCGGAGCGCAGAGCGCAGGGACCAGAACTGATCAGTCCCCTCTTCTCTGTCCCTCTCAGCGTGTTTTTCTCTGCTTCTGCTGGAATTAAAAAAAAAAATCTGGATCCCCCTCAGAGCCCACCCTCCAGCCCGACTCTGGGATGTGGGGAAGAAAAGAAACCTTGTTTTCCTCGAGCAGAGCGCACAAAAACCCGACAGCAAGAACAAAAACATGCAACAATAAATCCATTCAGTTTTTAAATAAATCTGCAGTTTGTGCACAAAAAGAAAAACGTGGACTTACACATAAACTCCAGACAGGCCAGACACCTCCCCAGCGCCAGCACCGACCTCTGCCTGGACATTTCAACCCGCGCGCTCTCAGCCAGTTTAATCCAAAATCTCTGCCTTTAAGCTTCTCATCCCGTCCCAAACAGCCCGGTTCCGTCCACACCCGAGTCCCGGAGCCCCGCAGACAGAGCTCTGCGGGTCACTGAGGTTCTCCAACCCACTTACCCAGCAGAAAAGTGGGCCAACACCAGTGCCAGCGCTCCTGCGCTGCGCTGCGCTGGAGAGGATTGGTTGTTGTGTGTGCGCGGTCAGCGGTGGGCACCGGGCCTGGGACAGGGGGG